ATATTAATTTTAAATTTTTGTGTTGTTAAAGTATTGAATTAATTACTCTTTGTCGTGCCTTGCTCGGTACTACACAGTTAGTTTGTGCCCCTCTCAGTGTTGTCGTGAGTTTTGTTGTTATGTTGCGTGGGGGGTGATGGAAATCCCTGGTATGGCCCGGGGGGGGGGGGGGTTAATAGAGGCGGGGGGCTTATTTAAATTAGTACAGACAATGGTATCAGTTCTCCATAAAGAACTAGAATCCAAAGTGGAAAAGCTTGGTATGAGAAGTTAGAGGTCGTGCACCCGAGGATCAACAATAAATCTGAACTTCCAGTGAGTGAATACTTTTAGTAAACCATCTAGGATCAGTCCACATAAAGGTTTACAGTCATGATTGATTACTGATACAGCCTATCATTTATTAGTGAAGAATAATTAAAGGAGGGGAGGGGGGCTTATTAACGATCTTCCCCTGAAAAGGAGAAATGGCCTTTAAGTCGTCGTTTAGTTTCTCCAATGTACTGTTTAAAGAAGTGGTTGCATAATTGTACCATGTAAATGACGTTTTTAGAGTTACAGTTGATGTGATATGGGCGATAAGTCTGGTTTCACATGTAGATTGGAATGTGCATGAAGTTTGTCCGCCAGAAATGTATTTGACTCGTATTTGTAATACTGAAAAAGTGTGCGAAAAGCTAGAGGAGCATACCTCATCGAGAGAGGCAAAACTCTTAATTGAACCCTTAGGTATTTTAATACCTACATTAATTTTCATCTTTCCTTGTAATACATTCCTTATTTCTTCCATTTGTATTTATTTATACTATTTTTACATTTCAAATTTCTTCCATATCACAACTTCAACGGTTTTTGTTTCCATATACTTTCAAAGTTCACTTTCTCCTTATTTAAAATTTTTACGTGTCATTATAGTATCATATGTAAAATCAGTCTTGCTTCTTTCCATTAATATATCCATTCCTTCTCATAGAAGATCATGTTTTCAGAAGGAATCACCAAGAGATTTTAGGAGGGAGTCAATACAAGGAGAGAGGTTTCTCTGAAGGTGATTATTATCCAAAATGTTAATTTCTGAAGGGGGTTACCCGAGGAAAAATTTTGTGAAGGGGTCTGGCCAAAAACACCTCATCAGTGGGAGCTGGGGTTTGATATTAAATGGAATGGCCCATTGGGGGCAGTGGAGAGTGCTAAATTTTGCTAGAAAAGGAAAGGCTATACGAAATAATATTCGATTAACTAAAAATGTCTTTATGTTGAACTAATTAAGTTACCTGTTCATCTCGCTCTTGGCCACTCAGTCCACACTCTGGGTGCTTAGACATATCGTAGAGGGACATCAATGGGGTGGCATACTCCAGAACCAAGTAATGGGGATCTTCCCCACTGCGTGGCTTCTCTATCTGGTGCACGGTGTGCTGGTAGGGTCGCCTTGATATCCCACCTCGGTGTCTCTCATACGGCTCGAGATTTCCATCACTCTTAATTCTTTTGTCTGCGTTATTAATTTCATTGCAGGTGAAGCAGTTTTTTGGAATCAATATGAAAAGCTTTTTCTCTGTAATCTTGTACATGTAAGCTGTTGATCTTCCGATCTGCTCTTCAAGATGCGGTAGCACCAGTTTAAAGTAGCCAAAAATAGTAGCTCCAGGCAAGACCATCGGCCACATTTTTGTTTTCTCTCTCGTTGATCTGCGATACTTCCACGCTAGAAGGTTCTCGCAAACCGACAAGAAACAAAAGTTGAGGGGACAAGAAGCAGTTCAACGAGAAAAGTATCCAGTATTCTGATCGACAGAAGGTCTTGCAATCTTCGTACAAGGCGTAGTACAAGACAAAAGATGACACTGTCAGAAAGGACACAACACCAACGACCAAAATAGAATGGCCGTATCGAAAAGTGAAAGTAGAATTGAGAAGTTTCTTCCAACTTCCTTGGTATCGAGTGTGCCTGTGACGTCTTTCTTCGTTCACCAGACACACTCTTCGCACTAACTCGCTAAGGACTAAACTTAGGGTTAGAAGAGCGGCTCCAAAGAATATAAAAAGGATTACATCTTTGCTTTCCTTTGTTGAAGAAAAGGCGATTGCATTTACTATGTGGACAGCACCAGTGACAGCGACCACAAGCAAAGCAGCGAAAAAAGCACCGCTTCCACGAGGTTTCGAAAGTGGTCCAAGTCCATTATTTGGCTGTTGGGGATCCATTGATTCTGTGGGAAAACTGAAAATACTTTATTGGAAATATGAATTTTGACGAGTTGTCGAACGGTACTCTTGCGGTCTATGACTGAGGGGAATCGCCTTTGTCTTGTGATTGAAAAGGGGTAGGGAGGGTGGATGCTACCCCCCACCCCCACCCCCGATAAGGTTTTTCTGAGTTTTTTCCTGCCGATTTCAGCACAGGGTCCAGAGGAGTTTCGTATGAATAAATGAATTACTTATTTAAAGTCTCACCTTGAAAAATGTCTATACCTGTCGCTTAGCACGATTAATTAGCCCAATGGGATCTTTATAAATCTACTGTAAACGATTTCTTCGCTTTTTATCTGATCGACTTTTGAAAATCAATAACCGCAAGCCATATCCTCGGTGTGAACCGCCGAGGTCCAATATTCATCTCGCAAAATAGCGCTTAAAACAGCAGGGGACGGCGAAAAAAAAGTGACATATGGCTCAGTTAGCATTTTCCTCAAACGTTTATTGAAAAATTTGCTTTGAATTCTGCATTTTGGAACAAATTATAGCCACCGTATTGTTCATATGTATTTTTTCTATAAACTAGTTGTGACGATATTGCATTATCCAATCAGATTTTAGTATTTACATGTGCGCGCTCGGGCTCGCTTTGTCACAGTTTACTGTCATGGCCGCTTGTGAGTTCACTATGTTCTGATTAAACAAGTTGAAGTTTAAGAACGTGAGGCAATTCTTTATATGGTGTCAGAAGTAAACGGCCAGAACCGCGTTTGGTAAAGACAAGCAAGTTTTCATTGATAAATTCGCAGCTTAACGCATTGAAGTCGTTGAAATCTAGTCAAATATGCCGAGTGATGGTGATGCGAATTCAGGCGCTACCGCGTCCGCTACCGCACCTTCTGCAAGTATTATGGCTTCTTCATTTATGTGCAATGTATCTTTACCGCCGAAACTGGAAGTACACAGTGGAAAATTGTCGAAAGAGTGGAAGCAATGGCGACAAGTATGGGATGCTTACGAAGAGGTGACCGACCTTCGAAGTAAAACGAGCCGCCTTCGCGTTGCAACGTTTATCACCTGCATTGGTAAAGAAGCCCTCGAAATCCATAATCATACCTGCCAACTCTCCCGGTTTTCCCGGGAGTCTCCATCTCCCGATCTCCCGGTTAGAGCATCAAATCTCCCGGATAAAATGGACTTTTGAGCATTTCTGTGCTTTAGTTTGAAATTTAGTCCATTTTTTCGCAAAATTCGGACTTTTTTTATTCATTGTACAGTTTCTGGGACATTTTTGCACATGTTTAGTCAATGACAAAGATTAGTTCGTCATTACAATGATGAAAGGCATTTTGATCCCATGTACGTCATGTAAGACGTCTTACAATGTCCTAAGGCAATTTGTTGGCGCGGCGGGGGGGAGTGGGAGTGTTGGTGCTGTTGACATTCGGGGTAAGGGGGGGGGAGGTGTAGTGCAAAATAGAGAGTCTCCAGATTTTAGATCTCCGGAGGTTGGCAGGTATGATAATGGTCTACCTTTCAGAAGTGAAGAGGAGAAATCCGACATAACCAAGGTCCTGGAATTGTGGGAGACGCATTGCATTGGCAAAACCAATATAATTTACGAGAGATACAAATTCAATAACCGTTCTCAAGAACAAACAGAATCCATCGATACGTACGTGACAGCTTTGCGACGCAAGTTACTCGTCTGAAGAAGAAATTTTGTCTGTGTCCTCTCAAAACGCTGTCAATACTGTGGAAATGTCGGAATTCAAGAGTAAAATATTTGCACACATCGAAATTGAAGATGTGTTAGTGAAGATGCAAGTCGATTCAGGAGCCTCGTGCAATGTGTTACCTCGTAAATTTCTGCCAAAAGATACTGTGGTTGACACAACCGAAGTAAAATTAACCACCTACTCTAAAGCTAGTCTGAAGGTACTGGGTGTGGCAAAAATCCAGTTGCGTAACCCGAAAAATCAGAAGAAGTACTGTGTTCAGTTTGTGGTCATTGATGAAGATTACACTCCACTCCTTGGTTCTACATCAGCACAGGAGATGGGACTGATCACCGTTCAGCATGAAAACATCCTAAATGTTAATGAAACTGTGGTTAAAACTGACTGTCAAGGTCTAACCATGGAGGAAGTTACTGCTTCTTACAGTGACGTATTCAAAGGCCTAGGATGTATGGAAGGAGCTCTTCACCTGGAAGTAGATATGACTGTTGCACCTGCAATTATGCCTCCTCGTCGTGTGCCTCTAACATTGAAGAATAGGTTAAAAGATGAGTTGACTCGCCTGGAGAAAGCAAGTGTTATAGTCAAGGAAGAAGAACCAACCGACTGGGTGTCTAGTCTAGTTGTTACAGAGAAACCTAACGGGAAGCTTAGAGTATGCATTGACCCTCAGCATCTCAATAAAGCCCTGAAAAGAAGTCACTATCCGCTTCCAGTCATTGAAGACATACTCCCTGAGTTAACCAATGTTAAAGTGTTTTCAAAAGCAGACCTTAAAGATGGCTTCTTGCAGATACAGTTAGATGAAGAATCCAGCAAGCTGACTACATTCCAAACCCCTTGGGGCCGGTACCGATATTTGCGAATGCCTTTTGGAATTTCTCCTGCACCTGAATACTTCCAAAGAAAACTGGATCAGAATTTAGAGGGCCTGAATGGAATATACAAGATTGCAGATGACATCCTTATTACAGGCCGTGGTGCAAGCATTGATGAAGCTGTGAAAGATCATGATGCCAATTTACTGAAGCTGTTAGACAGGTGCAGAGAGCGAAATTTGAAGCTTAACCGAGAGAAGCTACAACTGAAGTGTTCAGAAACGCCCTTTATTGGTCATGTCCTTACACCTGAAGGAGTGAAACCCGACCCAAGGAAAGTTGATGCCATACTGAAAATGGAAAGACCAAACGATGTAGCTGCAGTTAGAAGACTGGTAGGCCTAGTGAACTACCTGTCCAAGTTCCTAAGCAAGCTCTCAGAACTTTGTGAGCCACTGAGAAGATTAACTCACAAGGACGTTGAATGGAGTTGGTCAGCAGTACAAGAAGAAGCATTTCAAAGTATCAAGCATGCTGTCACTTCAGCTCCAGTCCTGAGATATTTCAATTCTGCTGAACCTGTGGAAGGTCAGGGAGATGCATCTTCCAGTGGTATAGGATTTGTGTTGATGCAGAATGGGCAACCTGTATCATACTCAAGTAGAGCTCTCACAGCCAGTGAGAAGAACTATTCTCAAATAGAGAAAGAACTATTAGCCCAAGTATTTGGAGTGGAGCGTAACCATCACTTTGTCTATGGTAGAAGAGTTGTTCTTTGGTCTGACCATAAGCCATTGGAGACTATTTGCAAGAAACCACTAGCATCAGCACCGAAACGACTCCAGCGCCTACTCCTGAGACTACAACAGTACGATGTTGAGATTCGTTACAAGCCAGGTCCTGAAATGTATCTAGCAGATACTTTGTCCCGTGCTTACCTGCCAACCACAGACCGCTCCTCTACTGAAAAAGAGGCCGAGCGAATCCATGCTGTCGATTTCCTAGCTATCTCAGAACCACAGCTTGTAGAGATCCAGCAAGAAACAGCTGCAGATCCTGTCCTACAGTCCCTCACTCAAGTTATCTTAAAGGGTTGGCCAGAGAAGAAAGATGATCTGCCAATAGAACTTCACCCCTACTTTGACGTCCGGGATGAACTGACAGCCCAGGATGGAGTTCTCTTCAAAGGTCTTCGATGCCTGATTCCATCAAGCCTCAGACCTAAGATCCGTGAGCGTCTACATGGTGCACACACAGGTATTGAAAGCTGTCTTCGCAGGGCTAGAGAAATTGTCTATTGGCCTGGCATGCCAGCTGAAATTAAAGATTACATCTCCAAGTGTGAAGTTTGCGCCAGCTACAAGAAAGAACAGCCCAAAGAACCACTGATCTCACACAAGATCCCAAGCCGCCCCTGGGAAACAGTTGGTTCCGACATCTTTCACTTTGACAATAGAGACTACCTCTGTACTGTGGATTACTATTCAAGCTACTTTGAGATCGACCCCCTCAAAGACAAAACTGCCAGCGAAGTCATCCATACCCTAAAGAGACACTTCTCAAGGCATGGAATCCCCAGTAAGCTGATGAGTGACAATGGTCCACCATTCAACTCCTATGAGTTTCAGCAATTTGCAAGCAATTATGACATGGAACATGTTACCAGTTCTCCCCATTACCCACAGAGTAACGGCAAAGTAGAAAACGCCATCAAGACCGCCAAGAGTCTATTGAAGAAATCTAGATCAGACATCTACCTAGCCCTACTAGAATGGAGAAACACGCCCACTGAAGGTCTACAGAGTTCCCCAGCACAAAGGATGTTCGGGCGCCGGACTAGAACACTGATACCAACTACCAGTGAACTATTGAAGCCCAAAATAGTGGAAGATGTCCCAGGAAAACTCTTCAAGAGGAAACAGCTGCAAGCAAAATTCTACAATATCAGTACTAAAGAACTACAACCCTTAAACAATGGAGAAGTACAATATTGCATTATCCAATCAGATTTTAGTATTTACGTGTGCGCGCTCGGGCTCGCTTTGTCATAGTTTACTGTCATGGCCGCTTGTGAGTTCACTATGTTCTGATTAAACAAGTTGAAGTTTAAGAACGTGAGCCAATTCTTTATATTTGGATTCTGGAGTATCCGTACCAACACATCTGCAATCCTATTTTGATCTCCATCATCCCTTGGAGCTCTTTCTCCTGAGATTGGAACTAATACATACTTCCCTTTACAGTCTTTACAACCGTCTAAGATGTCTCTTAATTTGCGGATAAACAGCACCACCTACAACATCAAAATAACAACTGTTATAAATTACTAAGATAAACTATAACTTTAAGATGAAGGGTGCAATGGTAAGATTATAAAAATTATTGAGGGTGCATGGTCACCTATAAGACATTTAGCAATTAAAGAACTTGTCTTGTCATAATTACCAAAACA